TTCAGTCATTCATGGACATATGCGCACTCATTGTCACATTTTTTTTCTCTACACTGGAATTTGACACACATTGTAAAATGACTAGAACTCAATAAAATATGTTGGAAAAAAATAAAAATAGAAAAAAAAGGTACATTTTGTAATCCTGTTTCCCAGATACTAGGGGCTTTGGTTTTAAGGTGGCTCCCATCAGTGGTTTCTGTGTGTGCGTGAGCATGTGTGTGACAGGGGGAGGTAGTGTCCCCTTCCACCCGCTGTTGAAGAGCCAGAAACTCTCTACTTTTCACCCCATTAATGGTTGCCGCCAGGGGTTTTCTCAGGTGTGCTCACAGATCTTGTCACCCCGCCAGAGCATCTCCCCTTTCTCTCCTCTTTCACTCCAGCTGCCTTCACAGATCTAGGATTCTCAGGATCCTGCTGCTTGGGAACTCTGTTTCCAGTAGCTCCCTATCTCGAGGAGGGGTTTGTCTTCTGGGCTCTGTGAAGCCTCCAGTGACCGCTCATCAGCCAGTACTGGCTTGGATGTTGGCCGCCACTGTTACAGGGATAAGGGTGAATACTTCTCGGGCCATGTGAAATTGTTTGTCCCCAGAACTGTAACTCAGAGCCACTGTGGGTTTTATTTAAAAGTGGTTAAGACTGCATTTCTCCCTTTGTTGTTTTATCTTATGTCATTTTATGAATATATATAATATATATTTCGGGGGTGGGGAGGGTGGTAAACTAGGTTTATTTATTTATTTTTTAAGTGGCAGTACTGGGGATTGAACCTAGAACCTCATGGATGCTAAGCACACACTCTACCTCTGAGCTATGCCCTCCCCCTTTATGAATAATTTTTTTTATCATTCCAAAGGACAATTTGGGTCCCTCGTGGCTCTGGGAACCCTTATATTCCTATTGCATAACTTTTCCATTCATGACGGCAGGAGTTCCTCCTCCTTTGTTCACTGGCATTTCCCTACCAGTGAAAGATTGCAGATCACACCAACATGTCAATTCCAGTACAACAATGCAGGGTTGAATCCTGCATTCCTTCCTTCCATATGCGTAAAGCCGTCCTCTAACAGTGTGGCTCCCATGATTCATCATTATTTATTTATGCGTTCAAATCATAGGATACATAGTGCTTTCCGTATGTCTGTGTTAAAATAAACACAATCTTATTCACGAGAGTTGAGCATGTGTTTATTTAGATATAGAAGACATAGAGTCCAAACACGGCATTCAAACATTT